CACAATAGCCAGTTGCCCTCAAGTCGATTCCGACTCACGGCAACCCCATGTGTGTCAGAGTAGAACTGTGCTCCATAGGGTTTTCAGTGGCTGATTTTTTGGAAGTAGATTGCCAGGGCTTTCATCCAAGGTACCTCTGGGTAGACTCAAACAGTCAACCTTTCAGTTAGCAGCTGAGAGCCTTAACTGTTTGCACCACTCAGGAATCCAGAGACCTCAATAGCTAACACCAAATCATGCTGCTTGGGTAGCCACAGGGGCTGAAGCACATTTGTGAGTGCCTAATACCTACACATGGAAACCCTGGTGGCATAGTGGTTAAGTGCTGCAGCTGCTAATCAAAGGGTCAGCAGTTCGAATCTGCCAGGTGCTCCTTAGAAACCCTATGGGGCAGTTCTACTCTGTCCTGTGTGGTCACTGTGAGTTGGAATCGACTCAACAGCCTCGGGTTAATACCTACACGTGGGAGAAAAATGTGGCCTTGGAAACCCTATGGGGCAGTTCTACCCTGTCCTATCGGGTCACTATGAGTCAGAATCGACTGGACGGAAACAAGTGTGGTTTGGTTTTTAATACTTATACTTTGGACCCCTGCTTCCTGCACACGTTTGCCCTGCCTCTGTGTCAGTCTAGGTTTGACATCAGTTTACCAAACTCATATCCTGGCCACACAGAGGGCTCTGGTATGCTATACACGAGCGGACTACCTACCATAGATGCTTCAACAATATCCACACCTTGATATTAACAAGTGAAGGGTATGTTGCAAAGTTCTTGGGGCTCCTTGCTCAGCTAATGACCTGCATTAGGCACAGAGAGTGGTCCCTGCAATTCAAAGACAGGATTAGGTCTTGTTCAGAGTTGGTTACCTCTCCAATTTGTTGTAAAGATAAGTGGCTCCTTAAATGCATGACCAGAGTTCTTATGAACTCTAGCAGGGTTTGGTGACCCACCAAGTCAGGAAATAGTAAAACACGACCTTCCTCAGCTGAGTCAGGGGCATGACTGCTTATAGTAGACCACCCTCTCCCATGTATTGGTTTAAGGCTTGAGCTAGAACTGAATTAAGCTCAGTGGCCAGTTCCAGAAAAGCCTGGCCAAGACCATCCTGAACTTAATTAAGCAGTGCATCTCTAAGGAAGGAAGACTTAGCACCATACCAAGCCTCTAACCTTGGGCCCCACATCTAAAACTGGCATCACATGTGATCATCTAAAATAGCTGGGGGATCAAGCCAGAGTTAAGGGCCAGCCCCTCAGCACAACTAGAAAATCCAGGAACCAGAAGACCTAATTATAATGATAACAATGATAATAATGGCTTCCATTTACTAAGGGCTTACAAAATGCTAAGTGATTTATTTGCATACAATTTCTTAATCTTTAGAACCATCCTACGAAGACCCGGAGAATTAAGTAGTTGCACAAGTCACATAACTTTTAAGTGGCTGAACTGGGATTTGAATTCAAGATTGTTTAGCCCTAAAGCTCCACTTGATATTACTAAGTTTTAGAGCCTCCCCAGAAATACTTCATTATGCCTCTGCTGTGGCCAGATGGGGTATTTTATAAAATCATGTTCCACCAAGCAGCCTTGAACCTAGCAAGGAAATAATATCCACGTCCCATGGGAGACCCACCAGGCAACTTGAGAACAACGGCATCCCTCTACCTTGACAATTCTACCTGATGCCTGGGGCTCTCCCTTTGTGTTATACTCTTTACACCCCTTTTCTAGGTTGTCGGGGTCTCTTCAGAAACACATTGTGGATTTCTGCTCCAGACGTCTCCTGACACTCCCCTAAGTGAGCGCTTAGAGTCTTGCATCTGATCTCTCCCATTTTCAATAATCCATTCTCGGCTCAAGTCTTGGGTTGTGTCTGATCAATAATTTACTCGCCCAAGAAGAAGCTCCCTATTCCTCCAAATACTGTTGATCTTTTATTTGAGGAGATCAAGAAATCTTATTCTCTTACCTGTAGAGTACAACTTTGCAACATGTTGAGCTCAAACTGGGACATAATCCCCTTCCACCTCCCCCTGGACTATCAGCCCTGCTACTGTACTAGTTAAGATTACTTCCTGGGTTCAATGCCTAGCCCTGTCATGTGCTACCTGAGTGAGCCTGAGTAAACTATCAACCTCATTTTCCTCATCTGCAAACTGAGAATAATAATAGTACCTTCTTCAAAGGGTTGTGGCTAAGAAGGGAGACAATATATTACATGTAAAGTACTTAGCTCTGGTGCTGGCACAAGATAAACACTCAACAAATACTAGCTATCGTTATTACCAGTTTCTGCTTCAGCTGTGGTTGTTATCATGCATTCACTTAATCGACATTAACTGCCCTGCTTTCAAAACAGTGCAGAAAATTATGTGTCGATGCTCAAGGACTGGAGTTGTACATGTGGAAAAAAACTCCGACACGAAAATTGAATTTTTCTGCAAACTTGCCACCCAAAATAGGATGCATCACTTTTAATGGTAATTGGCATTTTCTCCATAATAGGCAATTCCCCTTTTATTTTCTAACTTAACCCTCACACCCATCATGAAAATCCTACTTTGCAGGTAAGGAAACCACGGGTTAGAGATGCCAAAAATGACAATGATGATGATGACAATGGCTAACATTGACTCTGTGCTTCCTATACATGTGGGGACACCAGTGGTTCAGTGGTAGAGGTCTTGTCTTCCATGGGGGAAACCTGGGTTTGATTTCCAGCCAATGCATCTCATATGCAGCCACTACCCATCTGTCAGTGGAGGCTTTCATACTGCTATGATGCTAAACAGGTTTCAGCGGAGCTTCCAGACTAAGATGGACTAGGAAGAAAGGCCTGCTGATCTACTTTCAAAAATCAGCCAGTGGAAAACCCTATGTATCACAAATGGCCAATCTGCAATCCATCATGGGAATGGCACAGAACCAGGCATCATTTCATTCAGCTGTGCCTGGTGTCACCATGAGTTGGAGGTGACTCGATGGCAGCTAGCAGCAACAACATATGTTGTACAATGTTCTAAGAAGTTTATATGTACACTATCTTTCAATTTTTATAAAACAATCATATGAGATCTATTCTGTTGTTATGCCCATTTTACAGATGAGGAAACTGAGATACTTCAAATGGCCAAGTAACCACCTAAGGTCACAGGGATCACAAAGATAAGGCTGGTCATACAATTCATTTCCTAGTGTGATGCTTGAGGGTTACAGCTGAGTTTGGCAGCAGTGTAGAGAGACAAGACACACAGCCCTTTGCTATGCTGGCACTATTGCTACCCTCCATCTCCCCCCAATATATATGTATATACTAAACACACAGAGACACTATATACACACAGAGACACTACATACACAGAGACACACAGAGACATGCTTCCCTCTCACTGTAAAATCCAGTGATAGTAAGTGAATCTGTAGAGACCATCCTTCTGCCAGTTTTGGAGAAGGCAGAGCACTGATGCATGTCATTCTCCCAAAAGACAAAGAAGGAAGCTGAATATTTTCCTAACCATATTAAAAATTATGCTCCTGCTTTAGAACAACATAAAAAGGTGTTTGTTTGTTTTTGCTTAGCAGCCTTTCTTTGATCTGCATGTCAGCAGCAGACTGATGGGTTGTTTCCACTGTCATTCCATACTGGGCAGAGTCTGGCCCTGAATGAAGCTAGACCATGATTTTCAGCTCTGTCACTGTCTTGATTAGTGTTGGGAGAAGGGAGTTAGGATTAAATGGGATGATTCTGTGCCCAGGAAACACAAGATGAGTAGGGTAAGCTGCTCAGTTACTTGGGCCCTGGAAACAAAAAGCCCAGAGAGACAGTGGAGTAGCTGCTCCTCTCTTATAAAGCTTTTGGTGATTGTGCAGAGGAAAAACGTACGTGTCGTCCAGGCTAACTGGGCTCATACAATTTGAGATTCACATTTTGAAAAGTTTGGAATGCTCTGGATTATCTTGTTTGCCAGTCAATGAGCAAGAGCTTGGCCAGAGTACCCAGAAGGACATCCAACGTCATTCATTCTAACTTGGCTCTGTGATGCCTTTTGAAATGCTCTCATGCACTGTTCAAACTGAAAACACCATAAAAAAGATTACCCACTTGGCTCCCAGTACCCACTCTCTACTAATGCAGAAATGCCATCATACAAGATTGCCACATGCACGACACAGAGAGAGGCAAGTGTCTGAGAGTTTGCACCTAGAGAACGGTTTTCAAAGGATGGCCTGCGGATCCTTGGGAATCCCTGAAACCTTTACTGAGGGTCTGAGGGTCAAAACTATTTTTATAATAATAATATGACATAGTTTGACTTTTCCACTCTCATTCTCTCTCAAGTGTACAGTGGAGTCTTCCAGAGACTACATGACATGTGATATGGCAAAAGATTGGCTGCAGAAGCAGATACAAAAATCTAACTGTCTGTCATTAAACGAGACATTAAAGACATTTGCAGTAATGTAGAAACAATGACACTAATTCTTACTAATAATTTTTAGAATATATAGGGGTTTTTTTTTAATCAAAATAACTTATGTTAACATATAATAGGTGTATTATTATTTTAAATAACTTGATAAATTATTTTTAAATTTCTCAGTTTTAATGTCAAATGTAGTGAATATTGAAGGAGCTCTAGTGGCTCAGTGGTTAAGCATTCAGCTGCTAACCAAAAGGTCAGCAGTTTGAACTCACCCAGCCTCTCTGCGGGAGAAAGATGTGGCAGTCTGCTTCCACAAAGATTACAGCGTGAGAAGCCCTATGGGGGGCAGTGCTACTCTGACTTACAGGGTTTCTATGAGTCGGAATCAACTTGACAGCAATTGGTTATTGGATAACCCATATTTTTTTTTTTTTTTTTTAAACCTGTTTAGGGCTCTCGATAATTTTTAAGAGTATAAAGAGGCCTGAGACCAACAAATTTGAGAACCACTGAGCTAGAAGAGTCTGATAATTTTCTTTTTTACTTGGCAGAAGCTTTTCTTCTTCTCCCACTCAGCAGCCAAGCAGCCATCTGCTTCAGACTCACCGCTTTCTTAGGCTTGGGCCCAGCTTCTCGCCTTAGCGGCCTTATTACCTGCCTTGTCCCAAATCCTTACTATTGTATTGTCTTGATTCTGCCCATGACACTGATCCAGGAGGTCTGCAGTTGTTTATTCTCTATGGCAAAGCAGAGGGAATGGCTTTCCTCAGCCTTGCACCTTTCAGTTGGGCCTCATCCAGATGCATGAGGACTGCCCACTTCTGCCTGGCCCACCAGTCAGCAAAGGCTGTGATGTGGGCTGGGGAGATAGAGGCACTTCTATGTGTCGACAATGGGAGGGAGATGAGTCTAGACCACAGGGTGTTCAGAGCTGATGCTGAGCTTGGGCTAGAGACTGTGACAGAGTCCATGACTGTGGTGAAGTGGACAGGACACGCCAGCCCCCACCAGTGGGCAGCATGTTAGAGATCAGGTGTCCCCCTCCGTGTGTGAAAAACACTATGATCAACATCAAAGCCCCAGGCAGGGCCACTTTCTCGAAGATGCCAGAGTCCTCAGCATGGCCCACTACAAACAAAGCTGGAGCACTATTTCCAGCTCTTTCTTTCAAATCACAGTAAAATATTCAACTCAATCTAATCCACCTATAAGCAAGCATTGTGCTCCACCTGGACACCAGTAAGAAGTGCCAGTGAGGAGAAGATGCGCAAAGATTAATAAGAGATGCTCCTTCCCTGCCCTCAAGGAGCAGGAATAAACCTGTGGTGGAGCTGCTCATTAGCAGCAAAATGCTCAGACTTGAGTTTTAACTCCCGTGTCTTACCTTGCCTGTTTTCTAGAGGGAGTGGAGCTGCGTGATGCAAAAAGGCCAAGCTGCTAAAGAAAGCAGAGAAACCAAAGTCCTAAATAATTCACGACACTGGTCTGAAATATAAGAATTGATTCTGCAAAAGAAGCCACTTTCTGTTTCTTCTGTATAAATGTTATTTCTTAACCTCAAATTCAACTGCTGGCTGGGACAGAAAGAACCTGATTTCCTACCAAACTAAAAAATGCTCACATCTGACCTGGTTATGCTCAGATTCCCAGGCAGAATTCACCTCCGAGGCTCTTATAAGGCACCCAGCCGAAGGGACACCCAGCCCAGAAGGCTCTGAGGAAAGGGAAAGGACTAGGAATATTTTTGAATTGCAAAACGCTTCATCTTTAAAGTAGGCTCTAGAAAGAGCAAGTTCTGTGTTTAAAAAGGTGCTGCTAGTGAAAATATGTTTAATCATTATCTGTTTATTTAACAAGGCCAGGAGCAAACAACCAGATGTTTTTCACTAGAGGGGAACAACAACCAAGGGCTTGAACTTGAACTTCTTGTCAGAGTTGAGCAAGGACCTGCCACAGCCAACGCTAAAATGCACTTGATACTTAAAAACAAGGAAGATGGCTACAAGGAGAGTTATTCCTGAAACCATGCCACCCATCTCCTTCCCCCTTCTCATTCCACTTCCTCTCACCTCTTCCACCCTACCCCTCAATTTTAATCATTTCTGTTTAGCAAAGTTTTAAAATCCTGGGAATTGTCTCACTTTATGCCTCTTCTAATCTTTTATGAAAATTATCAACATCATGTACTTTCAAATCTCCTGCACTATGAACATCAAAAGCCCATTAAGTAATTAATTGTACACTTTTAAGGATTAGCTGAACATAAAATATTAGATGAGATTGATAGATATAAATATATATCACGAGCTACTATTTCTACCATGAAAATACATCTTATTTCTCTCATTCACACGTTCTCTCTCTCCTTTCTCCTTCCTTCCCCTAGTCTCTTGCTATCTTTCTGTCTGATAACCATAATTGCACCCCATGACTTCTGGCCTTCTAGTGCATGCAAACACTAAAAGAAAAAAAAAAAAGATTCAACAATCAATAAAATTTTAAATCATTTTAAAACTGTAAAAATTGAAAATGATAAATGTGGCCTCTCCATTGAAAAGTCAGCTTCAAGAAAGCACATGGGCTTTCTAGAAGACAAGGTGGATTCAAACCCAGATTCTATCGTGTGAACTTAAGATACCAGCCCAGCAAGGTTATCATGAGGATTAAATGAAATAATGCTTGTAAAGCATTTAGCTCAATACCTGGCACATAGAAAGTTCTCAAAAAAAGTAGCTATTATAGTTACTAGGAAGTATTTACAATTTGGGTCGTGATTCAGAAGCGGAAGAGAATCAGAAAGACAGAAACGATACATACCGAAAACTGTTTCTACATCCGTTTGTGCATTCCATTAAAATTGGTTTTACAGTGCACAGAGCACTTTCTTACATTAATTTCTCTGATCCCCAAATAAACCTGTGAAGTAGGTAGGACAGGTACTATTATCCCATTTGATGACCCAGGAAATGACAGAGGGTCAGGAAGCGATTAAGATGGTTTGGGTGTAAGGCATTGGCTTAAGGTTACAGCTGCCATTAAGTGGAAGAGCTGGGACTAGAACAGGAGGCAGACAGTTTACAATCACTGAAAGAAGACTGTTCTCTATATTTGCCTGACATCCTCAGTGCTGTTAACTTTATTGTCCTGCTTCATATTAAAACTACTTGCTGTCGAGTTGATTCCAACTCATGGGGACCCTATGTGTGCCAGAGTAGAACTGTGCTCCATAGGGTTTTCAATGGCTAATTTTTCAAAAGTAGATCACCAGGCCTCTCTTTTAAGGTGCCTCTGGGTGGACTCGAACCTCCAAACTTTTGGTTAGCAGCCGAGTATGTTAACTGTTTTTCACCACCCAGGGACCCCCACATATTAAGAACTGGTCTCTAAAGAATTTAAGATTAAAATGCTAAAGTTAATACAATAATAAATAAACCCCCAATTGTCCAGCTATGACCCATCCACCCATGAGGCATATTCTCCTACCACTAGGCCTAAGTTACAGGCTCCCTTTCCTTCCCTGAGCAGTGCACCTGGCTTTAGGGTGGGCTTCCTGCAGATAGCTGCAGGGAGGAGCGCCATGCCATGTGTAGGGGCTGGCCTCCCAGCAGCCCAGCTGTTGTGTTGCCTACTGTGGCCCCAGCCCCAACTTAGCATAGAAGATTTTTGGGTTGGCAGCTGTCAATTAACCAAGTCAAATTGACTCCCCAGGACATGCTACATCTAGAACAGCCTTCCCTTGGGAAATGGTGCAGAAGCATCCGTGCTTAGCTCCATTCCCACCTCTTTTATTATCTTCAGAGTTACCTAGAGAGTATTATTCTTCCAAATGCAAAGAGAGACAGAAGTTAAAAATGTGCAGAGTATTTAGTAATTTTTATTTAAAAAAATACGCATTGGCAAAGCTGGTGCTCACCCAGGGAAACACTATTTTTTAAGTGACATAAAATATGAAAGACATGGAAAAAAGTCATTGAAACTGGATGATACACTATCAAATAATTTACGCTTCCTCCCATGTGATCTAAAACAGATGAAATATTTGAGCCAGCCACAGATACTGAATATGGATAATTTGTTCACCGACTTTTACTTCTAGGATGTTAACTGAGCAAATAAAAATTAAAAAGATACTCAAAATGTCTTCTGTCTCATAACAATCATAGAAAGAAAGATGCTGGGTACAGGGAAGAGGAAGGTTCCAGCACAAAATATTTAGCCTCCTCAGTGGAAAAGAACCATCCACAACACAAATCAGTAAATGAGGCTGCCGGCTTGTTTACTCTGCCTAACTGGGGACTTTGCTGTGAGATCTGATTACTGTTATCAGCAGGAAGCTGATTTGGCTGTCCTGCTCCAAGAAGACTCATCCAAATTACAGATCAGCCCAAACACGGGCCGTCTTGGCACCTGCACACGGAATGCTCCAGGTCCTGTGGTAGCGGCAGGATTCTGTGTTATGAAAACCAGCCTAATTCAGCTTAAATTGTTCATGTAGGCAACAAATCCCCGATTACCAGAACAGGCACACATTGACATCCCAGTTGTGGAAAAACAGAAAAAAATTCAAAAACCCTCCAGTCCCTTGTTCTGAGTTCTAGAAACCACATGGTCAATTTGTGATTTAGCAAAAATATTTTATTAGAGGGTAACAATAGCAACCATTTAGTATCTTACCAAAAAGGAGCCCTGGTAGAGCAGTGGTTAACTGCTTGGCTGCTAACAGAAAGGTTGGCAGTTTGAACCCACCAGAGGCTCTGAGGGAGAAAGATGTGGCAGTCTGCTTTCATAAAGATCACAGCCTTGAAAACCCTCTAGGGCAGTTCTACTCTGTCTATAGGGTTGCTATGAGTTGGAATCAACTCAATGGCAATGGGTTTGGGTTATGAATAGTATGTTATCAGATCAACCATTCTTTATGCAGTTCTTTTTTAGCGGGGGAGAGGGCAGGGGGAGTCAGGATAGAAGGGAGGATGGAAATATTTACTGAGTCCGTCCCCTCTCTGGTCAGCATTCTGGTGAGTGCTTAATGAGTAAGGCCTTATGGTATCCCAGTTTCCGAGGAAACGCCTCTTGGACCACCTATCGTAAGTGTATAGTCCGTTTGCTTTGTAGAAGACTGTACATCTTGGCAGTCATTTCGGCCATACGTCACGAGGCCAACGGTCTCAATACGCCAATAGTCTTTTAAAGGTGAATCCTCACTTATGTGGCAGTCAAGTGTTTATCATTTAAACACACTTCCTTGTTAGCTTTATTAGCTTTTCTATTAGCTGACTCAAAATTTAAGTCTTTTCCTTCTCGTTACACTCATCCACCAAGACAGAGAATGTTCTTTGCACTTAGTTTACTTGGTATCGAAATTCTTTATTCCTGAGCTGTGACCCTCTGCCCAAGCCGCAGGACTCTCCTCCTTGAAGGATAATGGGAAATGCTGGTCCATGAGCTTTCCTGGGCTCAGAGAGACTGCTTCTCTTGTGAAGTCTCCTACCTCTAATAAAGTCCCTTGAATTTGGGAGTGACTAGGCAGGTAAAACCAAAAACCAAAGCAGCTACAGTCGAGTCAATTCCGACTCATGTGACTCTACATGTCTGAGAGTAGAACCGAGTGCCATAGAGTTTTCAGTAGCTGTTTTTTTTTTTCCCAAAGTAGATTGCCAGGACTTTCTTCCAAGGAACCTTGGTTTGCAGCCAAGCATGTTAACTGTTTGCACCACCCAGGGCCCCAAGGCAGGTATACCCATTCTAATCACAGGAGATTTTTATTTAATCATTTCATCTTCACTCTAGGACTCGCTACTACCTGTCCACAGTTTGCGAGCAGTTTACAAACTTCTGTTGGTTCATTAACAGCCTGCTCAGCTTCTCAGAGGTCTTGCCTAGCAGCCAGGGTTCTTAAGGAGGCAGAAGTAAAACTCAGAACAGATCAAGAATTCAAGCGGTTTCATCATAGTGGGTTTGGCCAGTTTATTCTAGAAGAGCAGATGGAAGCCATACCATTTCTTTGTCATCAATTTTCAAATCAAATTCCACCTCCAGGCTGCTGACTTTTTTTCATCAGGATGAAAATGAATGGTTTAGTTAGCATTGTTCTCATTCTTACCTTGTGTCCTAGTCACTTCACAATTGCTTTTATTTTTGCTATCTTTTGTCAAAGTGGAATTGTAATTAGGTCCTGCCACACATTTCTGTGAGAGCAATCTTATTCTGCAAATCCTTTCATGTTACCTTGATTTATAGCTTTACATATAAACTTTCTCTAAAACCATCAGTGGATTAAAAGAGGCACAACCACCCTCAGTCAGGAAACCGAAGACTCAACAACCAATTTACCAGGACGAACACTAATGTGTTGTGTGAACATAAGGCTGAAAGGAAACCTAGGGCTCAGAAACAGCCTGACTTTCTGAAGGAAGACAGGAAGGAAGCCAGGAAGGAGAGCAAGAAGATCCAGAGGAAGTAGGAAGGCTGCCTAGTCAGGAGGTGACTTAAGAGCCTTCAGAAAACTTGAAGCTCAAGAAATGGGCTAACGTACTTTTAGAAGAACTTTCCGGAAAGGTTGAAGCAACAGAGGCAGTGTTGTGGACTGTACAAGCGAAACAGCCAATGACACCACAGGAGAAGGACAGAGGCGAGGCTCAAGGAGCATGCACCAGGGGTCTTTGAGGTTCTTTGACAGGAGAGGAAGCTTCATGGTATGTAAACGGTTAACACTCTCAGCTGCTAACCAAACGATTAATGGTTCAAGTCCACCCAGAGGTACCTCAGAAGAAAGGCTTGGTGATCTACTTCTGAAAAATCAGCCATTGAAAACCCCATGGAGCACAGTTCTACTCTGACACACGCGGGGTCTCTAGGAGTCTAAGTCGACTCAGTGGCAACTGGTTTTGGTTTTTAGCACAGACTAAGTTCTGAGCTCTTTTCTAAGTGCTTTTCATGTATTATCCATTGCCTTCGAGTTGATTCCGATGCATAGCTACTCTACAGGACAGAGTAGAACTTCCCCATAGGGTTTCTGAGGCTGCTGTTAACCAAAAGGTCAGCAGTTTGAATTCATCAGCCACTCCTTGGAAACTTTATGGGGCAGTTCTTCTCTGTCCTATAGGGTCACTATGAGTCAGAATCAACTCAATGGCAATGCGTTTGCTTGGTTTTTTTTTTTTTTTTTTTTTTGGTGTGACTTTTGCCTTGGTGGAATTTTCTGCAATAGCTACTTTCCACTCTCCTGATTTCACGATAATTTGAAAGAAATGGTTAGTTCTGATATCGTTTCCCAATGGTTTGAATTTCTACTGAGAAATAATAGCTCTCCTTTTAAAAGGCCAATTATTTACTCCACCCAAATGTAGTTGCTTTTCAATAAGGAAGATTTCTTTTAATTGACAAAAACAAAAGAAACAATTAGGCAAAGAAGAAGGGGGTTAGGAAGCTGAATAAAATCAATCCAAATAAAACAATTATATTTAATTTTTACTTATGCCAGGTCTTTGTCATCTAAATTGACAGTCTAGCACAAACAACTCTGTTCATGGCAGTATAGCTTATTTTAGTCCAGTGAAGAGAAAATACTTTAAAGTATTAACTATGGGGGGAGAGGGGGAGTTGTTCTTGTGACTGACACAAAGCAAGGTTAATGATTCCTTTAAATTGTATTAAAAACAACCATAAGTATTTGCATATGAAATATCCTACACAGCCCTAACTTTAAATATCTAATGCTTCGCTCCCTAAGAATCTTATCACGCTAACACTGTGACACGTAGAAGAAGGTATCTTCTATGTAGTTGGATAGACAGATTAATGGATCTCCAAACTTGGCTGCATGTTAGAAATATCTCTGTTCCTGGGTGGTTCAAACAGTTAACACACTTGGCTGCTAACTGAAAGGTTGGAGGTTCAAGTCTATCCAGAGATGGCTCAAAAGAAAGGCCTGGCAATCTATTTCCAAAAAATTAGCCATTGAAAACGCTGTGGAGTACAGTTCTACTCTGACACACGTGGGGCCACCAAAAGTTGATATCTACTCGATGGTTAAGAAAAAAAAAGTACTAGCGCAAACAACTGCTAGGCCTCCTTCCCTGAATCTCATCTCCCTCTTTCTCACATAGACCTGTCTACCTTGGCTCTCTATTTTTATCCAAGGCACACCCTTCTCTCTGACGTCCAGACTTCAAAACACAAAGCCATCTTTCTCCCTAACCCCACGTCTTCATCCAGTAGCTTAATTCTATATCTGGTTCACTTGCCCACTTTTCCAAATGTCCACTGCCTACCCTTCCTCCCTTGCCCAAGCCTCATCCATAAATAACTTTTCTTCAGCTCCATAGCACTTCAGCAATATCTTCCTTAAAGTTTTCTATCCTCTCTTACTGTTAAATGTGGGCCTGCCAAAGTTCCCTAGGGCAGATTCTGTTTTCCAAAAATGGCCACAATAATATTTCTCACCCCCATGTGGTCCTCTACAAAGTGATATTGACACTCCTCCTATCAAGACATAGGGTCTAGTTCTCCTTTCCCTGAATCTGGACAGACTTCTGACTTGCTTTTAACCAGCAGAATGTACAGAAGGAAGGATGGAAAAGGCCAGAAAAAAAGACAATTCAGATTTCACCTTATTCAATGGAGCTTTTATGCTTGGAGCTCTGAGTCATTAGGGAAAAATTCATGTTGTGAGGAAGCCCAGTGCCAGGCATGTAAGTAAAGACACCTCCAGTTGATTCCAGCTCCCAGGCTTCAAGTCTTCCTAGCACAGGACCCAGACATCATGGAGAAGAGCAGACTTGTCTTCTCTGTGCACTTTGGGAATTCTGGACCCACAGAATCCATGAATCTAATAAAATGGGTGCTGATTTTTGCCACTCAATTCGAGGAAGTTTGTTTGGCAGCAATAGTAGCTGTTGCACTTCCTTATTAGGCTGTAAGTATCCTGAGAGCAGCGTCCCTAACTGATTTTCTACGAGTAGCACAGTGCTCAGGCATGAACATAAGACAGCCCTGAAAATAAAGCAACTGAATTTATAAACTTTGAAGGCTGAAGATGAAGTAAACTGTCCACTTACAACATTTCATTTGAATGTTCTAATTCAATATTACATTTCAACATTCAGAATCACACAGTGTATAAAAATACATTTAGAAATATTGCTCTTTTACATTCTCACATTTTATGAAACGATTTTATTAAACTCTTGACACATGTTTTTGTCAGCTGTGGCTCAGCCATCATTAGAACCACTTTTTGAATCATCTCACAGGTTTCTGGAGCACATTGTCTTCACAGCCATTTGCACTGTTCGAGATAAAGCGCTTTGGAATCTGTGTATGATGCTGTCACTGGAAACTTTATCCAGGCCACACTGTGCATTTATATAACAGTAGATCCATTTTTATTTGATTGTCCACAGATGTGTATTCATGAGCACCACAAAGTAAGTGATCACCACTTATTTTATTGCTTTTTAAAATGATCTAAAAAGGCTTCTGTAAAATGATATCTAATGTGCACTTCTGTGAGGGCAGGACCCAATAATAATCACTAAAACTGTGAATTTGCTTCCTTTTTTAAAACTCATTCTATTAAGTGGCCTCTGTGAACGCCCACTAGCATTTACTTGAGGTAGTTTCAGGCTAATATGTCCTGTCCAAACAATTCTTTGTGGTTCAAAGAAACTAACTGAACCATAATACCAGTTAAGACAGGACATTTTTTAAGGACTCAAATTTAAGGCAAAATCCTATTTCTGAAGAATAATTTTTTGAGAAAAAAATCACCTTATATTTGTGTTACCAGTTGCCATTGAGTCAATTCCAACTCATGGCAACCCCATGTGTGTCAGAGTAGAATTGTGCTCCATAAGGTTTTCAATGGCTAATTTTTCAGAAGTAGATCACCAGGGCTTTCTTCTGAGGTGTCTCTGGGTGGGCTTGAACCTCCAGTCTTTTGGTTAGCAGCCAAGTACATTAATGTTTGCACTACCCAGGGACTTTATATTTGGGTAGATACTCGGAAAATGTGCATGAAGTGGAGAAGTGATCCTGTGGCCCTTTAGGGAGATTAGTCCAGGAAGGTAAGCAGAATCTGGAAGTTGTAAGACAGAGCACTGCTGGGAGGAAATTACAATACTCTAGGTGAGAGGTAATGATAAACCTCACAACCTGCTCTCAATGGATTGGGAAATAACATGAAAATTGTTGAGACAGAGGTTGGCCAAGTTAGGGAGGCAGTGGCTTATAGTGCAAACGCCAGCTCAGCAGTCTGAGAGACGTGAGTTCAAACCCCAGGCCTGTCATTAAGTAGGCTGTGTGACCTTGAGCAAGTTGCTAGGCCTCTCTGAGTCTCAGTTTCCTCCTCTGTAAAAGAGTTATTGGGAGAATAAAACGAGATGCTGTATAAAAGACCAAGCCAGAGTAAACAGCCAGCTGGAGAGAGTGTTCCTAAAGACACTTCATCAAGGGCATCTATTATTGTAATTGATAACTGATGGGATGTGGGGAGAAGATTCATTATCACCCACAGTTTCTCTTAGAAAGGGTTAATTTCTAGATGTCTGCATTAAAAAAATCATGTTCTAACGTTATTTTCCCATAAGAGCCAATGTGTGTTGGAAGGAAAGTAGAATACAATTGCCTAGTGATTCATCGATTAGGGATTACTTCAAAACAACCTTCCCAAAGAGCTGCAAATTCAATTTATCAGAATGAAAATGTGTTGAGAGGAATGAAAGATATGTTTCCACTCTGCCCTTGCTACTGGGGGAGACCATCACCAACATTACTAAAGGACAATGACCAAGTAACAAGTCTGGTGTCCAGAACACCAGGCTGTAAAATCATGTTGCTGAGTAAAATGTTCACCTGAAAACTGAACTCAAACGCTTGAAGGCCAAGGTCAGTAAGAGGGAAACACTGAGATACAGAGCCAGCAAATGGCTAAGCTTCTCACGAGAAAACCTGATCGGCAGAGCAACATCCAAGGCTAGCTTCCACCCCAGGTCACCCTTCTTCAGGCTTCTCCTTCCTTCACGTTGATGCACCTTCACTCAGAGGCTGACAGAGCTTCCCAGGGCTGAACTCTGATGTCTTTAACCAGATGGCAACTCAGCTCCACAAATACCAGTATGGCAATACTGCCAAAGAGGGAAACAAAATTAATCACATTACATGCTACTTTATAAAATATTGCACAAAATAAAGCACTACCTGTAATAATTTTTTTAAATAGATAATGCATTTCTATGACTTAAATCCAAAACTAGATAAGAAAATACACACAGAAAAGTCCTGCTTCCACTCTTGCCTCCTATAGGTAATAATTTTGTATTAGTTTCTATTTATACTTCCATAGTTTCTTTTTGAAAATAGTATAAACAAATAAAAATATTTAGATATATAATGTATATACATATATAAAGTCTACATACATAATGAATACACACACTCTTCTCCCTATCCTTTCGTACACTAATAGTAGCACACCATGTCCACTGCTCTGCACCTTGCTTTTCCCCCCTTCTCCATATCCTGGCAATCTCTCCATATTCCTACACAGGGATCTTCCTTATTCTTTTCTTTTAAAGCTGTGTAGTACTTACTCCATTGTGTGTTATATCGTAGTCTATTCAACTTGTTCCCTTGTGCCAGACACCTGGTTGTTTCCAACCTTTTGGGATTACAATAATGCCACAAGCAACAACTTCATAATACGTTATTTCATACTTGCACAGGTGGAAATGAGACTGCATTTGTAGTTTTGTTAGTTAATGTCAAATTCCCCTTGCGGAGGTTGTACAGTTTTGTAGACTCATGAGTAAAATAAAGTACTGATTTCCATTTTTAAAGCTTTTTTATTTTTTCTGGCATTCTTTTTTAAATTTTGTTGTTGTTGAGAATATACACAGCAAAACATACACCAATTCAACAGTTTCTACATGTACAATTCAGTGACATTGATTACATTCTTCGAGTTGTGCAACCATTCTCACCCTCCTTTTCTGAGTTGTTCCTCCCCCATTAACATAAATTCACTGCCTCTTAAAGTTTCTATCTAATCTTCTGAGATGCTGTTGTCAATTTGATCCCGTATAGACAGTTCTTAAAATAGCATGATGCTCAAGGCAGACATTTTTTACTAGTTAAGCTAAACTATTGTTTGATTTTAAGAAGGCTTCAGGGGATATTTTTGGTTTAAGGTTTAAAGATTATCTCAGAGCAATAGTTTCAGGGGTACATCCAACCTTCATGGCTCCAGGAAGTCTAGCGTCCATGAGAATTTTAACTTCTGTTCTGCATTTCCCCCCTTTTGATCAGGATTCCTCTATGGAATCTTTAATCAAAATATTCAGTGATGGTAGCTCTTCCGGTTTCATGGCAAAGGAGGCAGTTATTCATGGAGGAAATTCACCACACATTCCATATCCTCCTCTTATTCCTGACTCTCCTTCTTCCTCTGTTGCTCCAGGAGAATACAGACCAACTGTCATGCCATGGATGGCTGCTTTATTCTTACTCATTTTAATCTTTTCCTGCTGTGTTGTTTTGTGGGTCTCTTTTGTAGCAGACATATTTATAGAGAGGCTGATCAGAGACTGTATCCTCACCACCACCGAGAAAACTAGAACATCACCTTTCACCACTTGGAAGTGTCAAATTGGTTGTACAGAGAGCAAGTGCTGCACGACTTTGGAGGAGTTAGACATTCTGGTGAAATGAAACCATTCTGGGAGATTTCATGAAAGAAAAGAGCTTGACCAGGCCTTTGAAGAAAACAGAGAAGTTAGGTAAGCAGAGAAAGCCTTCCAAATTCCAAAGCAGGAATATGCACAAAGTGTGCCCAGGATGATGAGCAAATTGCTGGAGCAAAACACTGGAGATGATTGAGAACAGAGCTTAGAAATGTAGTTTGGGGCTTGATCGTGGAAAACCTTACAGTCCAGGGGAGAGAGTCTGGTCTTTATGATGTAGACTCTAAGGAGTGTGATCACACCTCCTGGCTTGCCCAGGACAGTCTTGATTTGTGCCTGTTGTCCTAGCAGCTTTTTCACTCTCTAAAGAGTCTCACTTTGGATGATAAAGTACATAGGTCAGTCATCCTAGAGTCGAATCCAACTCATGGCGACCCCATGTGTATCAGAATAGAATTATGCTCCATTGGGTTTTCAGTGGCTAACATTGCAGAAGTAGATCACCATGCCTTTCGTCCACTTGCCTCTGGGTGGACTCGAACTTCCACCTTTTGGTTAGCAGCCGAGCACATTAACTGTTTGCACCACCCAGGGATTCTAGGGACTGCTAAAAATCTTTGGATAAGGGATAGAGCTGATGACAGTAATGTTTCAGCAAAACAGCTCTGAGTACTAGAGTAACAGAATGGATGAAGAGAGGGGCTGGGGGTAGAGCCAGGATAGCACCAGGCAGGGCAGCCAGAACACAGGACTGGGAGGAAGGATGCTGGGCCTGACTCTGCTCCAGCCAGTCTGAAACAGAGTAATTTATTTAACCTCTCTGGAGCTGCCATTTCTTTATCTGTAAAATAAAGACATTGGATCAGATACAAAAGGGCCCGTCCAGGTCTAATATTCCAGGGTCTAAGAGATTATAGCTACAATCTGAGTGCAGGGAAATGTGGAAGAGTGGAAAGAAAAAATAGATGAAAGGATGGTGTAGGAGAGGGAACATTCAGAATAGATGAGCGTAAGTGACAAGGAGAGCAGTGCTGTTGCCACTGACACACAAAACGAGTGGAGACGATTGAGCTGAACCGTGAGACAGTCCACGAGCTCAGCTTTATACGCGCTGTATCTGAGAAGACAGCAGCCCACTGAAGTGGTGGTATGTGTATATATATATATATATATATATGTGTGTGTGTGTGTGCAATGATTGTGGCCAGGCCAAATGGAAACTAGGGCTGCTTGGCTGGACCACACTTAAGAGTTTTCTAGCAGATGGCCTCAGTGATGGTTGGTGGTCACTGATGGTGCTCAGGTGTGGTCCAAGCAGATGGATGCAAAGACAACAAGTGAGTAAACAAAGGTTGGGGGTCTGAGTTTCAGGCCAGACAGCCTGGGAAAGCAGGGGAGGTTTTTAATAGTAAGGTGAGTTGACAGCCCCAATCTTCATTGCCAGAGGCCCTGAAGGCAATGTATTGCTCTTACTCGGGATGTATTTAAGGAAAACACATGTCTACCTGGATGGCTTTTGCTCCAAGAAAGTACATGTCTATTCTTTTCCCCAATATCAAGGGGATTTGCGGCCAGAACTCCTTCCTATTAGTGGTTCTTTGGTCATTTGGAAAGTCCTACCGGTAGATTTGGGTCAAGGAGGTGTCAGGTCCTCCTTTTACACTCTAGGATTAGCTCCCTGGACTGTCCAAGTTCCCCTCCCCTGGAGATCACACGGCCAGGCCTCAAAAGATCAGCAAAGAGCATCTGCCAGGCCAGCCTGCTACAGCTATATTTTATGCTGAATGAAAAATGGGATTTAAAATAATTCCTTGAACAAATGATCCTCTGGCAGAAGAAACTGGAGAATGAAAAGATTTCCCCTCTGGCTTCCACCGCTTTTTTGTGATGAGATCAGAAACAGATAATTAAATCGCCTAGAGGCATGCTGTACTACATAAATTCAAAACCACAAGGTGAAAGTTAAAATCACATAATTGTGTTCAAGACGAAGGAATGGGAAAGGGCCTTTTCCCTCCTTCTGAATGTTCAGGTACAAACCTTTTATTTTTTAAAAAAGAACAATTTCAGTTGAAAAAGAAACGCTAAGACCATGAGAAAACGAGTCATTAAACCCCAGGTTTATTAGCGATGAAGTGTTCCCATATTATCACATGATTCTGTGATTCTGAAACAGACTGAGGAGTTGTCCGGGGCTTGAGAGCAGTTGTGTTGCATTCATTCACGCACAAAGAGCTGACGACACACCCTAGGGACTCAAATCAAGTGATCTTGTGGCAGCATTTCACTGTGTCTGCAACTGACAATAACACAGTGGTTAAAGCTCACTGTAACGGCACACCAAGACGTCCGTCCATATGAAGCGAAGAAGAAGAAAGAAAAAAACGCACCTGTTATAAGGCAGATTTCTCTATCTGAGAAATGTCTGCTCTGGCTGTCAGGAATGTAAATACCAAAGGAAAGGTAAATTGAATTAGGTTACATTTGGAAGAGAGTTCCAGTAAGAGGCTTGGTAACTTCTGATTGCACTTAATGGCATGAAACTGGATCAGTGTCTTAAAAACGGTTTTTGCACACTGCAAGTAGCATTTATAGATTCTGTACTTACAGGAGGTATACCTAAGTGAAGGACTGAGATAAATTGGTCTACAGAGAAAGAAATTATGCCAGTAAATCAGTCAAATCCTCCACAGTGCCTACAAAAAAGAATACATAAATGGTGGGCGTGGGAATGAGGCTAATTCACAGCATTTTTCTTTTTAAATAAAAGATCCTTTCTGAACTGGAATTATCCAGTTTATCATTTTGGTTGTCTACAAGATCACTTCCAACTAATTGTTCAGCTGTCCCACTGTCTATAACACAGCGTCTATAAAACACAAAAACTAACAAGAGAAGAAAAATGAAAGAGAACAGAAGAAAAGAATGGAAAGGGAAAGGGAAGGGAAGGTAGCTGTTTGGGGTTAAAGATCATGGGTTTGTACAAATCCTGCATATACAGTACAGTGGCATTACTAGACGAGTGTGGACCACACCAGGTGACAGAGGAGGTGACACCAAGTAACTATAAAAATATCCCTGTAGTTAGTTATAACAACAAAAACAGTTTTTGGAAGCCCAGCTTACATGTATCAATATGCCAACAAGGCTGAAACTCTACGCTAATTTACTTTTTGACCCTTCTGCTGTGCTCCGGTCAGAGCTGTCATTATTCCCCAATTACAATGATGCTTTGAATCATGTGGTTTCGTCTGCACACACTGCAAGCACTCACTGTTGTTTTCATTGCTGCCAGTGTTTTTATAGTTGCTGATTTTGTCAAATTTTCTAATGTTTTAGCTCCAATATTGTGGTGATTAATATTTGTGAACCTATATCAAAAACTTTTTTGAGACTGAAGTAGTAATTAAAGGAAAAGAAGGAGTGATATATAGTAATTACGATTTACGAGTAACATTAGTACAAAAAAACATTACTAAG